GCAAAGATTTACTTTAACTAGTTGTTTTAGCCCATAGTAAGCTGGGTCTACTGCTGTGAGCCAAAGTTAAGGGAGAATATCACAGCCATGTTGCGGTGGGAGAGACTGATCACCTCAGGACAGCCACGAAGCAGAGAGAGAAACCATGGGACAAGGCAGTGCATAAGATTCATTCACCAGTGATCTACCTCCTCCAGGAGGCCCCATCAACAAATGTTCCCAGAACAGCACAAAATAATGCCAGAGAACCAAGCTTTCAACACATGAGCCTGGGGAAGAACATCTCAAACTCAAACTAAACCAGAAGACCCTCCAGTTCACACCCTCTGCCTCACAGTCAGCCCAGGCTCTAAGCTCCGGATATAAATTGATACAAAAGAGACAGGGAGTGAGTGATACCGTGCTATTCTCTCCCTCTGTTTGTTTCTTCTTACTGTTTCGACAGGACAGGTAGGTGAGTGCTCCTGGATTTCACTCAGAGTTCTCCATTCAGCTTTTCTTTGACCTTTGTCTCTGGTTTGTCAAGCGGAAGATGTCTGAGGCAACTGGTAATTTAGCAATCTATGATTCTATCTACTTTCTCCATCCCAGTGACAAAACATTAGAATCATTTGCTGGAAAGTTATACATAGTTTGTGTCTTGTATAAGCAAAAATAGGCAAGCATTATTATTATCCCTCCTTATAGACAAGGGAGATAGGTGTGTAAAACGGTAGAGCATAATAGTAACCCACTGTGGCAATCCAGATAACCTTTGGGGTAAGTAACATAGCTTTCTTTCTCTTTGTAGAAATTAAATATCTCCATTATTGTTAGCACTCTTTAGGACATTTCCTCTATCCCAGAATGTGCACAATATACCCAAACTCACACAAAGGATCTGATGCTAAAGTGACAAAGCCAAAATTCATTTGGCAGGTTTCCCCTGTCCCCATGAGGCTTTGTGAGAGTCACACATTCTTCGTGCCGAATCCACACTCGACTATACCCCGCCAACATGGAGGTGTGCTTTTATCATTTTGTGCAAAGCTATCTTCTGATTTGTTAAACAGTCAGTTTTGAATAAGTATTTAAGAGTTCTAGGCACAGAAAACTAACTGAGCCTTATTTATTTCTCCAGTTAATCAAATATTCATGGCAACGATTTGTTGCTTGTGTATTTTATATATCTTTCTTTGTGTATGCACACATTTGTTATATAGAATGTTATATAGGTTGAAGATAATGTATTTGAAAATACATATCACTATTCCTGACACATAAAAAAGGCTCTCCCCAAAATAGGACTTTTTCTCATTGGAAAAAAGGGCTGCCATAGTTTACCTCTGGTGCTATAACCTAGGAGTCTCATACATAATGGAAATTTACTTCCTACAGTTCTGGATGGCAAGAAGCCCAAATTCAAAGTGACAGAGTTGTAGAGGTCACTTCCAGGCTTCTAAGTGGTACCTTCTGGCTGTGTCTTCACCTAGTAGAAGGAATGAGACAGTTCTCTATGAGCTCTCTTATAATGATACTAATTTATAGCAATAATTAGTCAATACCTAACACCCTCAGAATTGCCCCATATCCTATAACCCACCACACTGGCTTTAGGTTTCAACATAAGATTTTCTGAAAGACAGTCAATCAAGGTGCATGAAGGAGGGTTATTATATAGCACATTCAGATAAAAATAATCCAAACTAAAGTATCATGTTCCATAATGGGGACATATTTTTGTAGACTCCCGGCACGAAAATCAATCAGCGTTGCCTAATCAAAACATATAACAACTAAGATAAGAGACTTTAAAATAACTCCTTTTAGATAATGTTTGAGCTATTTTTAGTCATGTTGGTGAGACTTTATGAATGTAGCTTTTGAAATTATTAGGAGACAATATTTATGAATATATATAAATATACATTTACATATATGCAATAACAGTGAAAAAAGAGGTCAGGAATTTCAAGGAGAACAGGTAATGGTATATGGGGGAGGGAGTGTTGGCAGGAAGAAAGGGAAGGGAGACATTATAATTGAAATTCAATCTCAAAAATAAAATTTAAAAGTGTGGCATGTATTTTTAAAGCTATTTTGTAGTATTTGTAATACAGAACACATGTGTATACATGATCTATACATTACATCATATTTGGAGATAAATCTAAGAATTTCATTATATCAGAAGAAAAGAAATCTTGGCCTATTATGATATTCTCCTATATTTTATATCAGTTCTTACACATTTTCACATATTAAATCCATTTGGAATTTTATATGTGTGATGTGTGAGATAGAAAAGAAATTCAATTTTTTTTTAAACCTGGAAATGTAGTATCCTAGCACCATTTATTGCTCAGGGCCGTGCCTCATACCCATAGTCTTAGCTATCAGGGAAGATAAGACCTAGGCTGGAACTATAAGACAGCAACATAACAGGACCCATTTATCAAAGAAAAGAGAGGAGAGAGACAAGGGGAAGGAAAGAGGAGGAGAGGGGAAGGGAGGGGAGAGGAAGGGAGGGGAGGGAAAAGGAGGGGAGGGGAGGGGAAGGGAGGGGAAGGGAAGGGAGGGAAGAAAGCCAAAGAGGAGAAAGAAAGGGGAAAAGGACAGAAGGAAATAGGTGTCTTCCCTTCGATTGACTTTCAGTGCCCCTCCTGGCCATCTTCAAATGCTCACGAGTGTGTAGGAATGTCTCCAGGCCATATTATATTTCATAATTTACTCATTGTTCTCAATGCCAACATCAGACTGTTTTTAAGTTCTATCATTTGGTAAATCATCCTATGACCATTTTGTGTGATTATTAAGATTTGAATCCTAGGATCAACCTATCAAAGCCAGAAAGAAAAAAACAAAAACAAAACAAACAAACAAACAAAAAACATGCTTGGAGTTTTTACTGAAATGACATCTAACTGTAAACTCACACAGTGAACACTGGCACATTTTTGTGTTGTGCCTTCTGATCGGTTAACTAAGGATAGCCATCATTTAGCAATCTTTCCTGTTCTTCAACCAAGTTTATACATTCCTGTTATAACATTCTTTATGAACATGACAGGAAGTTTCCTTAAAATAGATTAAGCCTTGCTCTGTTATAAAAACCCTTCACTAAGTTTTTCTGGCAAATGTTTGCTCCAAAATCATCTTTCAGCTCATCTGTGATAGAAACCAATGATATTTAACCACAAATCACTGTAGCCTCCAACAGCCAGTTGGATTATGGATAAGGTCCTCTTTCATGATTTATTCACTAATGAATCTTATGCTCTCCTGGATCATGTGTCCTTATGCCCTCTGTTCCCTTTCCAACTGAATTTTGCCCCTAAAATGCTGCCCATACCACGTGCTGGTGCTGCTTGTCTTTCCTTTCACACCTGGAAAGCTTCTCTCCGCAGCCAGCATTCTCCAAAGTGAAAAGGCTAGGCATCTGAGGAGAGTCACTTCTTAGAGCATACAATAGAAACAAATCCTGAGCTCCACATCAATATGGATGCCACTGTTTCCTGTGTGCCCATAAAAGAGTCCTCCCAGAAACATAAACCTGGGCCTTTGGTGACCATAGTGAGTGCATGTAAGTAACATTTCTTGGGGTTTTCTTTTAATGTCAGCAAATTTTAAGGTTATGAGGGGAATTCTTTAGTACCATAAAAGTAGAGATTATTCCCAATCGCCAGTTCATGGTGTCAGTATCAGTTGTTAGCACAAACATCTCCTCTACAATGAGTCTCTCTGCTCTCTCTTTCTCATTCTCTTGTCAACAGTTAAATCTCAGGGAAGAGTTAGTTCCTCGCTGATGTTTCCTCTCTCCCTTTCCTGTTATCCTTCCCCAGAGACTGTTTCTCTCCTATATTACCAAGGAAAGGCTGTTACTTTACTGCCTTACAGTCCATTTCTTATCTGGATATACTGCTAGATTATTCTAAAGGATATTCAAAGTCGTTGAGAGGGATGAACGCTGATATGCATCCCAATGTCAAAACCCGAATGATGTCTTAGTTAAGGTTTTTATTGCTATTATAAAATACCATGACCAAAGCATCTTGGTGAGGAAAGGTTTTATTCCAGGTTTCAACTCCCCAGATCAAATTCCATCACTGAGTATAATAAAGGCAGAAACTCAAGGCAAAACAGTAGAGACAGGAACTGAAGCAAAGACCAAAGGGATACTGGCTTGCTCCTCCTGGCTTGCTCAACCTGGTATAATTATTATTTTGGTTTATGTGTATGAGTGCTTTGCATAGATGCATTTCTATGTGCCACATACATGCTTGGAGTCTGCAAAGACCAGAAGAGGTTGTCAGATCCCAAGAACTGGAGTTACTGAAAGTTCTAAACTGCCATGTGGGTGCTAGGAATTGAAATTGGATCCTCTGGAAAGAAGCCAGTGCTTTTAACCACAGAACCATCGCTTCAGTTTCAGAGGCCCACTTTATTATAAACTCTAGGACCACCTGCCCATGAATGGTTCTGTCCACAGCAGGTTGGGTCCTTCCACATCAGTCATTAAACAGGAAAATGCTGTAAAGACTTCTTAAGGAGACATGTTCTCAGTGAAGAGGCCTTCTTCCCAGAGATGCCTAGGCTGTGTCAAGTTGACAAAACCCAACCAGCACACTTGTCTATTGCCAAGGAGTGAGTGTAAAGAAGACTGTAGTGTGCACATGTGCCATGACCATCTTCTACAGAACATAGTGGTCATGTATCTTTAAGCACAGTTTCTCACTCATGGTCTGTGTTACAATTTACATATTTTGTGAATCCTGAACATTTCACTTGATAACCACAATCCGTGCAGTTATCTAAAACGGTCCCCACTTGGAGACTGTTGACACATCTCTCTCTTAATCAATTGCAGGGCCCACTCCTCTGATGTTCATGTGTGCTTGCCCTGTGGCTAAGAACCTACTTCAGAGATAATAAAATGGTCACTGCTCATAGGTGGCTTTATTCCTTTGACTTCTCTCTGGAGAAAAATGTGTTATTAATTGTCTCCTTTTCTCAAATTGCAGATTACAGTGTTTCGAATGGGATCAGAAGGCCACCAGGACATTGATTTAGCTATCCTGACAGCATTGCTCAAAGGTAAGAGTTTCTCTGTCCACATAACACAAAAAGTCATTTTAATGGATTAATATAGACACCTTACATCTTCTATTAATAGATATAACCCCAAATGTTGTTGTGTCATGTCTAATTACTGATAGCCAGTGACCCATCCATGTAAGACGCTGTTCCCACTCTTGAAGCCTTCTAATGCAAACAAGTTGCATGTGAGTCAATTTTGTAACTTTTGAATACAGTAACTCATATTCATTAAGTCATAAACATATAGACAAAAAAGTTAATGCAGTATGTAAAATACTGTTATCTCAAGTTATTTAATAACTATTATTACTTTCATTTCAAGGCCACCTATGGGTGCGCTCTCTCTCTCTCTCTCTCTCTCTCTCTCTCTCTCTCTCTCTCTCTCTCTCTGTGTGTGTGTGTGTGTGTGTGTGTATAAACATTAGAATTAAAAATAAAATATCATTGAGAAGAAAGCCAAAATAAAACTTAGCCTTTACTTTTTGTTATAACTGACCATTAGACTGAACTCCCTTTTAACATGGGAAACACAGTAATACTTGGGCTATTGGAGTTTAATTTCTAAGATGGATATTAGTCCAGCTCTCTAGCCCAGGTCCTTCAAAGATGTCACACTGCCTGCCTTCATCCTTGGAGCCAGAGCCAAGTAAAGGCCAGTTTCTTCCAGGTTCTATAGACTTAATCTCCTCATTAGTATGCCTTGATATGCAAACTACACTTGACAAAACTTTTAAAGTATTAAAATCAACAGAAGACAGTTAGGCCTGTTCAGCTCTAAAATTCAGATTAGAAGTACAAGACGAACAAACAGCAAATTGTTTTGAGTATGGTCCTCAGCTGCAAACATCTGTGTTCTCGCTTAGCCCCATAATTCAGCAGTACCGATCTTGTCTGGCTTGTCATTGCTTGGCCATGGCCTCCATGGAGTATAAACTCAATGAGAGCAGTAAAGCTATCTTATTCGTTCTCCTTCTCAGCAGTGGACTTCATCCCACTTCAATTTTTGTTGGATAAAGAAATGAACGGATTGCTCAGTGATGCAGTGACAGATTCGGTATTCCATAATTTGTAGCTAAAAGGACAATTACATCACTCTTTGTTTCTAGTCTATTTCTCTTCATTCGCTCTTGTTATTTTCTTGAAGACTCACTATATGACAGCAACTGTGCCAAGCTCTTTATGACTACAGTAAACATTAATCATGACAACAACTATATGATGCCAGATCTCCCTTTGCCAGTGGAGCAAAGAAAGCTACAAGGGGTGAAGTAACGGGCCGAACAATGCAACACTAATCGTTAAACCTCTACTAAGCTCCAGCATATCTGACTTCTCACCGTACCACATGAGATTGTTAGACAAACATAATTCACACTCTTCCTTGTCCATTCCCTGGGTGTCCATATGCATTCACTAGACTCCTGATCACCCCTCCAGGAGCTTCTCAATCCCTCATAGTGAGTGGTATATCCAAGGTCAGTATAAGGCCACTCTCGATAGAGGCCATTACTAACATGATTACATAAGGAACATCTTCCTTATCATAAAGGATCTCTAAACAAACTCATTATTCTCATCCTTCTTCCCCACACTCTATTCCATATTTCTTTTATACATGTGATGGCTGAATTCTTAGTTTCTCAACTCATTTTAGAAGTTGTAGGCCTTGATGGAAGTTAGATTTATACACTGATTTTTGTGTGGTTGTGTAATGTCATTCTCATGGTTCTATACATTACATTTCTGTAAGATATTTCCTTTCAACTGCAAATATAAACACTGAGAAGGAGAATTAGGGGCCTTGGGGTCCATGCACAGGCTGAGCCACAAGGCACACTCTGGGCTTTATGTTTCCATTATCAGAGACAAGGCTAAAAAAAAAAAAATATAAGAAACTCTAGTATTTTCTATTCTCCTATAAAGATAATGAGGAAAGTAATCATATCAATAAGTAACATTTGTTGAAGTCCCACTATGTGTCAAACACTGTAAAGAGCTTTAGTGCATTTATTCTCAATAATTCTCTAATTCTACAACTATTTATTGTGCATTGATTCTGCACAATAGTTGCACTACCTCATCATGAGCCTCACTTATAAATAAGAGAATGGAGGCAGGAAGCCAGTCAGCATGCGCTCAAGAGAAGCTAGCTAGCAAAAGGTTCAGCCCAAATCTGAGAGCTCACGTACAACCAAGATTATTCCACTTATAGTAACAAATGCCCATGAACAAGATTCACAGCAAATAAGGAAGGGATCAGAATATCAGTAAAAACATAATAACTATGGCCATTCGGTGAAAAGACTTGCTTTTAGAAATTCATGAGACTAGAAATTATGTACCATCTTCATGTCAGCCCTAGAATTCATTTATCATATTGTAGAATACCTATTTTCCAGGGGGATTGGCATGGTGCTTTACAAAGTGAAATACAGTTTATGTCATAATCAAGTAATTATACCTATTGCACTTTGAAAAAATTGAAGTTAAAGTACCTGGGATAATATTTACATGGACAATATGCAATGAAATTGAATATTTTCTCTTTTAATCTATTTTCCCGGGTGCTGATTGTACCCTACTAAATTAATTTCATGGGTCATAAACCTGCAGCTTAAAACATACTGCCATAGAGGAGATGAAAGGAAACTTTGATTGCTCTAAGAAAGTAATGTTTCTAATCACTATAATGAACATTATTTATTAAGCAGTTATGCTAACGGGAATTTGTGCCATTAAAAGATTATAGTGTGTCAACTCTATCTTGCAAAGACTTCTAAACGCTCCCTGATACTGACCTACTTGATTTGGAAAGCAAATCAGGCATATTTTTGGCTTACTTCTTTGATGATCAAGCATATATACATAATTACATCAATTTTAAATTCTTAAGTTTATTATAGTCCTCCTATGTGTTTAGCCAAAGCTAGTAATGGACTTAACACTTAATTTTTGCAATTATATTTAATTTTCAATTATGCAATACTCAGAGGTTATTTGTAAAGTTGAATTTTTATTCTAAGACATTTCTGAGAAAACCAGTATTTATTATTGAAACAGAGCCAGGAAACAAACCACTGCTCCATAAATCCACTGTGGAAAAAGGAAAGGCAGATGGGAAACCAGGTGGCCATGGGAGAAATATATCTTTGCGCCCCTCGTTTTTGAGCTATTTGATTTAGTTTCCTTGTATTTGAACTTATAGTAGTGAATTCGGTCCTCTGATACAAAGTTAACCCATGCATCGGTATAAAAATGAAGTAAATAGTAAAGGCCAATGTCCCCACACCTTAGCCAGATGACTTTCCTAGAAAGCATTTCCAAGTGAATCTTTCATGATCCATCTTTCCTGGTAATTGCAGCAGAGTGGTTCCAAGAAGAATGGAGATTTGCTTAATTTTGATAAGGGCCCATCTTTGAATTTATCACTGTGACAAGGAAGCCACAGAAATAAATGCTGGAGCAGTTAAATGAGAGGTGATGCAGCTTATCCATCGCCAGAGTTATTACATTTATTTTGAGAGGGGGGACACATGAGACACAAGACAATTTTCAGATGTCAGTTCTTTCCTACCATGTAGGTCCCAGAGTTTGAGCTCAGGTCACCAGATTTAGCAACAAATACCTTTACCTGCTGAGCCATCTTGCAAACCTGAGCAACCCATGACATGATGGTTCTATAGACAGAAAGAAGAAAGAAAAAAGTCCAAAATGACTTTTTAAAACTTTACATCTCCACAGTTGTCTTGAAAGAAGTACTAAGGGTCAAAAGGCATTAAACTCCTCAGATGCAAATATCCAAGGATACATGTGCTATGACTGTATGCTTTTATTCAATGCCACTGGGTGGTGTGCTACAAGATATAATGTTCCATTCAGCAGACAAAACCAGGAACCAGGTCAAATGAATACTAACAAAAGTTCAAGCATTCACGCAAACATTCACAAAGCTCACAGCAGATATAGCTAATTATTGTCTGTATTTATTATCATCAGTATTACATTCTTCAGTTTAAATAGTCTGTCCTTGATCATTACTAATATTTTGTAGAAAAGTATCTACCATCTGTTCTTCTAAGACCTAAGCCTGCTAGTTAAATCGAATGTGTGTATATATATATATATATATATATATATATATATATATATATATATGTGTGTGTGTGTGTGTGTGTGTGTGTGTGTGTGTGTGTGTGTGATATAATAATATATATTATAAAGGTCCAAGCACCCAAGTGTTCTTCACATACTCCTCTCACCTCTAGCCTCATCCTCTACTACCCTCTCCATGTGACACGTACTACCACAAAGCCACAGAGTCAACAGGCATGACACTTTATAGCAGCAAGAGTGGGGGCCACATTCAAAGGACCACTTTTCCTTGACTAAAAACTTGTCTGACCTCACTGAGCCCCAGTCTCCTCTGTGAAGCTGAGATAATTCTGGTAACCCTCTTGCTGTCATAGTGACCATCTTAATTGATAATGAGAGTAAAGCACTTAATCCAGTAGCTAGAAAGACCTCTTTACTACATGTTGGTCTGGCTGAAGATGGTGGTGGTGGTGATGGTAGTGGTGATGGTGGTGGTGATGGTGATGGTGGTGGTGGTAGTGATGGTGGTGGTGATAGTGATGGTGAGGGTGATGGTGGTGGTGATGGTGGTGGTGGTGGTGGTGATGGTGGTGATGGTGGTGGTGGTGGTGATGGTGGTGATGGTGATGGTGATGGTGGTGGTGGTGGTAGTAATGGTGATGGTGGTGGTGGTAGTGATGGTGATGGTGGTGGTGGTGGTGGTGGTGGTGATGGTGATGGTGGTGGTGGTGGTGGTGGTAGTAATGATGATGGTGGTGGTGGTAGTGATGGTGGTAGTGATGGTGGTGGTGATGGTGGTAGTGATGGTGGTGGTGATGGTGGTGGTGGTGATGATGATGATGATGACGATGACAGTGATGATGACAAGCTGAAAATGAGAGGTCGAATTTGTCTGCACATGCCAT